GATGCCATGGGGCCACTACCTTTGTCTGCCACATAGCTACTCCAACCCTTTCACAAATATACTCATTTCATTTTTTGGTCTCTAACTGTAAAGCCATTCATCCACCTAAGAACTCGTAGCTCAGTAACGCTTAAGTTTATGGTTCTGTTATACTAGCCAACATTCTGTGCCATAAAGTATTGTAGATCTCATCACCATCTTATAAAATTTTCTTTGAAGCCTAAGTGGTAACTTTCCATCATAGAATAGTCCCAATGAATTCCTCCACTTCAATCATCCAACTTGAATTTTATTTACACATTCCCATCTATATCTCCATCAATTTGAATAATAGGCTTGAGATATCTAAATCTTTCACATATTTTAACAAGTTAATCACCAATAGTTACAAGCCCACCCATAGATTAACTACTATTAAAATTAAATTCCATGTATTCAAATTTGGATCTAATTAAATGAAAGCCATTAGATTATAAAGTTGACTTTCATAATTCAATTTTTTTGGTAAACTCTCTCTCAAGTCTTATCTACAATAAGGATATCATCAGTGGAAAACATATGCAAAGGTAAACCCTTCTATAAATGTCCAATAAGAACCTACATAACTAAAATAAAAAGATATGATATCAAAATCACTGAAACGAATCATATTTTCATAGTTTTCATTGAAAAATTTAATAAAATATCTCACACACCTATGTTTAATGTTCTCATTTAAGAAAAATGCTAATTTTGTTTTCATCATTACTACACTTTATTTGTTAAACCTTTACTTTTATTTATATATATATATATCACCAATCACCATCTTTATTATCAATCTATTATAAAATCACTAAATCAGAGTTCTTCGTATAAAAACTTTTTTTTTTAGACTTTCTTCGGGCCAACTTATATTTTTCTAGAATTTTTAAACCTTTACATTTAAACCATTTTTCATAACAAATCAATTTATTTTTTATCTTTCCTTGCACATTTTTATTCCAATTGATATACATTTAAATATGAAATTTTAATTATTAGATATATAAATACATAAAAATTTTGTGATATACATGTAAATGCCTCTAAAATAAATATATACTTAGAGATATTTTTCTCCTAATTAATATGGTGGAATCAATTTTAGCACTGACAACAACTGAGTTGATGAAGTGAACTCAAGAATTTACATCATGTTATTTTCTCTAACTATATGAAGGGTGCTTCTAAGACATGTATACCATTTAATTGCCTTGAGGCATATTTGGCAAGAATATTTTTCAAACATGATGTCAAGATTATGAGTATCTTTTCCTTTTTATTAAGATTATAGTGTGGAAAAATTATAAAAGAAATGATAAAAGAAAATATGAAAATGGCTTTACAATTAATCAAGCATTTTTAAGCTAATAGGTTATTTTCATTCTTAAAGAAAAAAAAAATAAAGAACATTTACTTCTTATCACTTAATTCCTTTGTATTTATATATTTAGCACATAAGCTTTGATTACTACATACCACCTTATCTATGCATGAAAAATTGTATTTCACTTCTTAAAAGTTAAAATGGTAGTATTTTTGATGTAATATGAAAGATTGGTAAACTTAATGAGTTAAATCCTTAGATATGTAGGAATTGGATGGTATGTATGTACACGCACAAAAAATAAAAAGTAATTTTGAGATATTAAACATTATAACTTCGATGGTTTGATGTAAATGCCCAAAAGATCAGAGTTTGAGATGCATTACAAAATAATTTACATTAAAAAAAATTCTTATATTTCATTGGGGGCGTCTTAATGTTGATAATAACTATGATCATCTATCTCTTTTCAACACACCAAAAGAATAAAGGAAGATTTAGATATATAGCCCTCAATTCTTATGTATTTAAATTTCTACCACAAACTTTTATTGTACATATATATATATATATCACTTTTCCTATGCATAAAAAGTTGTATTTCACTGTTTAAATTTATATATACTTGTCTTTTTAGCGGCATAAAAAAACATTTGTATTATATACTAAAACATTTCATAACAAATATGTGGAGCTTTTGAAATGACAAT